ATGATTTCTTTAAAACTTTTTGTTTAATATGTGCATTATATTTGCAGTTATTTCTTGGAACAAGCAAAATTGGCGGCTGTTTCAAGTTCTTGTCGGTTGCGAAAACAAATCAAAAATTCTTAATACTATAAAATATTTTTAACAAGTTCCAGAATTAATTGAATAAAGTTGAACATATATTCGAACTGAAGTCATGAAACACGTATCAAGTATCACGAATCACGAATCATGAATCACGAAACACGAATTTTTTGGAGGAAGATACATACCAGCCTTAAAACCAAATCCAATTGAAAAAACACAAGCCGCTAAAAAAACGATCCGACCACCGACTCGTCTCTTGCAAAAGTAACCAATGAACAAGAAAACTTGTGTCGTTCTTTCAAAATTAATATAAATACATTTGGCAGCCCATACTCAAATTTGCGTGATGTAACTATATTAATTTGGTTTAGACTTTTTGGACACAAATGAATTTCACAAGGGGATAAATCGGATTAGCACACTATTTAATAGGTAAGCCCACATACTATTTTCATACTACATGTGTTAAATTATAAAAGTTTACAAAGTTCTGACATATTCATATCAAATTCATATAATCATATCAAATTCAATTCATAAAATTACGGTTACATTGATAAGAACAATGTACCGATTAGCATTCTGAGAAGAGCGTCTCAGAAGAACCTATACACTAATAACTCGATTAACAGCTACTTCGTACAACAGTAACCTCGATTAACGACCCAGCCGTATTTCTGATCGTGTTTAGCTTAACAGTGAAGAAAACGACAAACATGTCTTTTATAATGCAAGTAAGAGCTGGTTTGAGAATCAATATACCATAAAACTTTCTGCAAAAGGTACAACATTAAAAATGTCATACTAATGTCAAACAGAGATCAGTCGTGGAAAAAAACAAAAATGTGATCTCTTAAGAAATTTTGGAAGCACTTACGTCTGGAATACGTCGTCAAAACCCTGTGCCTGTACCTTATACCAACGTAAATGAAAAATCTGCTAAATTTGCGGAGAAAGAGGCAACTAGAGATCTCAAAATTAAAGATCTATTTCGTCAGAGTAGCTCGGATTGTTTTTGAGTTCATTATATTAATAATTATGTTAATGATTTTTTATATTTTTTGTGCAATAGGCGGTGATTTATTCAAAATATATCGTTTGGTTTTCCCTTTTGTGTCTATTGATTTATCAATGGCCAATCTTTTGTCGCGAGTGTTATAAAATATTGAAAAATAATTTCATTCTAAAATGATAATGATAAATGCTACATCATTTTGAAGAGCTACTCAATTCACTTTGAAATTCTGTTAATTAGCAACCGACATGTAAATAAGAAATCATACAAACGGATTAAATATCAAACAGAATTTTTTAATTCACTCTAACCGTAATCGACTCTACCCCATTTACTGTGATTGAAAATCGTAGTATCAATTATCATATATCACAATATTATATTAATCATACAAATATTAGAGATCTCTCTCAAAGGTAAAGATGTCTTTAATCTCCGCAATCCAATAATTCTAACGGATATGCCATTTCAATTCAAAAGATTGCAATTCACAATTCTATTGGCGTCTGCAATCACCATCTAAAGCGAGCTTAGTTCAATATTTAGGATACTGTGGTTCAACTCTCAACACAGATAATCTTCCACATGAACAACTATATGTTACTTGTTCTATAGTCCACAAATCGAACAATATATATCTACACTCGCAATGGAATAATAAAATAAAATTATTGATAAAATTTATCAATATTTGGAAAGCGTGCTTTCTAATTTCTTTCTTTTCCATTTAATCAGACAGCCATGTTAACACGTATCTGCGTATAGCTGCTTTTATTAAATATTATATGTATACAACTTTAACAAATTTTATTAAATTAAATGACGTTTATTATTTAAATTAATTAAATTAAAGATTTATTTCAAATGACATCGATAACGATCTTCGCTGATCAGATGAATTGATTTCTTAGGAGGTCTTATCTATGGCTTAGTGAGAAATGATCATTCGAAGTGATAGTAAAGATTTCAAGTTAGTATAATGGCATTCATTGGCTTGACTTGACCTTGACTTGACTACAGTACTATACTTGAGCAGTGATCAATTGTCTATCAATTGTCTGTTTAAAATAACATTCAAATTAAATATGTATAATGTGAAAAAAATATATATTTTATATTAAGTTCATTTTATACCTCATCCAATACATTTATGAATCCTATTAAAACTGAATCCTATTAAAATTCATTTTAAATGAAACAACTAGAAAACTTACTAATACAGAAATTTAATCAACTTTATCAGCCTCTGATTAAAAATCGTATATAGCGATTACAATATTTAACTCACATCGTTGCCTGTACAAATAATTAATCTCCATCTTAAAAAAATTTCAAATAAAATATCTTATTTTCAGGAAAAAGTTGAAACTTTTACAAACGAAAAAGTAAGAACACAATAGAATCATCATAAAGTTGTAATTGATTAAATTTATTAAATTAACAAAGTTCACTGTATAAAAAACATATTTTAAATATTTCTTATTTAAAACCTTATTCTAAAATGTAATTTTGTATTTCAATTTAAATAATACACATTTTTAATTAATTTTATTTTAGATTTTTCTTATTGTACATTACTATACTAATAACATTAGAAATAGTTTGTTAATTAATTTTCAATTTTAACGATCAACACTTTTTTAAGTAAAACACTGATCGGTTCGAATCAAACAGGGTTATTCACGATCTTGTTTATCGAATAATACCCCTACCATATATTAAAAAAATATCATTTAGTAACGGCGATTAAAACCACCACCCCTTTTAAAATCTGTACCACGTCTTTCTTTCATCTTCTCAAAACGATTGGACATTCTGTATAGTTCTTCTGGAGCTGCTTGACCAGCTTCTTCTAAAATACGAATGAGATCCTTTGCAACACCCCAATCCGAGCGTGTTATATAACTTATGGCAGTGCCAGTTCGCCCAGCGCGTCCAGTTCTACCAACACGATGAACATACTCCTCAATATTACGCGGAAAATCAAAATTAATAACATGACTAAATGAAAAACAATTAATACAACAAATTCGGTTTCAAATACTACTAAGCACTTACGTAATATCCTCAATATCTAAACCTCTTGAAGCAACATCTGTCGCTATCAAAACCTGTATATCACCTGACGCTATATCAGCCAGTGCTTGTTCTCGATCGGTCTAAAGACAATTTTTTTTAAGTTTATAAGAATTTTATATTCTGAGACATTACTCTAATTAAGTTAATGCATTATGTACCTGATCACGAGAACCATGTATACATTGTGTTGACAGGCCTTTTAGAGATAAATCACTGGACAAATCGTCAGCACGAGCTCGCTTAGAACAGAAGATAATAACCTTATCGGTTGATTTAAGGTTTTTTAAAAATGCAAGGACCTGCAACAAGAATAAATACATTGTTCTTCATAATTCTTCTTATTTAAGTTTTCAAATAATATTACCGTATTAAATTTGTCCGCATCCTCCAAGAGTTCTACATTTTGACTCACAGTATGAGTGGCAGTTAAATCAAGCGAACCAACACACACTTGAATAGGATTGTTCATATAACTTTCGGCCAATCTACCAACACTTGGTGGCCAGGTGGCACTAGTCATGACGGTCTGCCTGTCAGGACGTATGTCGAGTAGAATTTTTCGGATCTGTGGCTCGAAACCCATATCCAGCATACGATCCGCTTCGTCTAGTATTAAATATGTAACTGATGTAATGTCTATAACTTTAGCTTGAACCAAATCATTAAGACGTCCAGGAGTACAAATAACGCATTCAGCTCCTTCTTTGAAAACACTAATTTGGTCACGACGATTCCCACCACCATAAATGCATACACTGAATAAGAATTTCATAATTTTTTTCTTCATTCATTTTAAACTATGGTTTAACTATTTCCTAACTTACGCTTTTATTCCACGGAACGAGTACTTGTTAACTTCTTTTGCTATTTGTAATGCTAATTCTCGCGTTGGCGCTAAAATTAATATATTTGGACCATTACGTTTCTCACGTGGTGTAGTCTGTCCATCAGTATGAATCAAAGCAGGAAGCAGAAATGCTAAAGTTTTTCCAGTCCCTGTTTGGGCTATACCTATCATATCCTCGCCTCTCAATAATATAGGCCATGCTTGCTTCTGTATTGGTGATGGTTCATTAAAATTTTGTTTCTTTAACTCATCAAGGATATCAGGATAATCTTTGAAACAATGTTGAAATTTCCAAATTGGTTTCGGTATATCAGGACACATTTGATCTTCATTTGTCACCAAACGGGAAACACTTATATTATTGTTTAAATAACGCATTTCATTCACTTCTTCTTCTGTCTTAATAGCGACTTCCTCTACTTCTTCATAAAAATTTTTTCTCAAGTCTGGCAGATGCGCCCAGTGTAACCTACGATGTTCTTCCTGTAATCAAAAATGCCTCATGTGAGCAAAATAAATATGGTAAATCGATAACTTAATATGTAGATTTTAAAAATTTTTCTTACAACTTTTCTATTCAAAGTTTCCCAATCGATAGGCTGCAATACTACATGGTTTTCGGCGCCACCATTATATACATTTTTCGTAGGCGCATTTAATCTAATTCCACCACTTTCTCCCTAAATCAATTTTGTTATGAGATATTATATTAATATATATCCATATTCTCCTTCTTTTTAATTTATACTTACAGATTTTGGAGCTGCAACCTGAATATTGTCATTTTCGGAAGAAGCATTAAAACGATTCATTGTATTTTCTTTTAATACAACTTTGGGATTGTGCGAGACTTCGTGATTTGGAAATGAAAAATTTCTATTTTCTTGACCAGACATAATATCACGAATATATTTGACTGCATCGTCAACATTTTTTCTATTACGACCCTTGACAGAAATTTCCTTGGTGTCATTGTTTATATGTATATAAACGTTGAAGTTTGTTCTAATTTCTTTAATTTTACAACCGCCACGACCAATTATGGCACCAATGTAAGCAGGGTCTGCAGGAAATTTCTCCATAAAATCATCAAAATGATTTAAGTTTGAGTTTAAAACTCCACACTCGTTCCTTTCAGATTGAGTTGCACCAGTTCCAAAAGTATCCATTTTGAAGTAAGCAAAATCTAAATAAAGGAATACCTGATTATTCCGTTTTCTATAAAACGAACCAAATTTCAAACATTCAAATCACGACCGCTTTTACGAACTCCTCAATCATAACATATGAAACGGTATTTAAAATTGACTATTAAAATTAAAAATATGTTTTTTAACATTGATTATTAGGGAATAAAGCAATTGCACTCTTATGTTTAAAGTATGTCGAAAATAATACTGCCGCCGCCTTCTTAAGTCTCATCACGCAATGATTCTTATATAAATATTTCAAATGGAGATTTTTTTTGCAAATACGTCACATAACCTTAAATATATGTGAATTGCAGTGATTTTTTTTTTATAGTTAATTTTTGTTTTTTAATTATAGTTTTAAAATTCTTTAAATAAAGAAACAATGATTTCTTTAAAACTTTTTGTTTAATATGTGCATTATATTTGCAGTTATTTCTTGGAACAAGCAAAATTGGCGGCTGTTTCAAGTTCTTGTCGGTTGCGAAAACAAATCAAAAATTCTTAATACTATAAAATATTTTTAACAAGTTCCAGAATTAATTGAAAAAAGTTGAACATATATTCGAACTGAAGTCATGAAACACGTATCAAGTATCACGAATCACGAATCATGAATCACGAAACACGAATTTTTTGGAGGAAGATACATACCAGCCTTAAAACCAAATCCAATTGAAAAAACACAAGCCGCTAAAAAAACGATCCGACCACCGACTCGTCTCTTGCAAAAGTAACCAATGAACAAGAAAACTTGTGTCGTTCTTTCAAAATTAATATAAATACATTTGGCAGCCCATACTCAAATTTGCGTGATGTAACTATATTAATTTGGTTTAGACTTTTTGGACACAAATGAATTTCACAAGGGGATAAATCGGATTAGCACACTATTTAATAGGTAAGCCCACATACTATTTTCATACTACATGTGTTAAATTATAAAAGTTTACAAAGTTCTGACATGTTCATATCAAATTCATATAATCATATCAAATTCAATTCATAAAATTACGGTTACATTGATAAGAACAATGTACCGATTAGCATTCTGAGAAGAGCGTCTCAGAAGAACCTATACACTAATAACTCGATTAACAGCTACTTCGTACAACAGTAACCTCGATTAACGACCCAGCTGTATTTCTGATCGTGTTTTGCTTAACAGTGAAGAAAACGACAAACATGTCTTTTATAATGCAAGTAAGAGCTGGTTTGAGAATCAATATACCATAAAACTTTCTGCAAAAGGTACAACATTAAAAATGTCATACTAATGTCAAACAGAGATCAGTCGTGGAAAGAAACAAAAATGTGATCTCTTAAGAAATTTTGGAAGCACTTACGTCTGGAATACGTCGTCAAAACCCTGTGCCTGTACCTGATACCAACGTAAATGAAAAATCTGCTAAATTTGCGGAGAAAGAGGCAACTAGAGATCTCAAAATTAAAGATCTATTTCGTCAGAGTAGCTCGGATTGTTTTTGAGTTCATTATATTAATAATTATGTTAATGATTTTTTATATATTTTGTGCAATAGGCGGTGATTTATTCAAAATATATCGTTTGGTTTTCCCTTTTGTGTCTATTGATTTGTCAATGGCCAATCTTTTGTCGCGAGTGTTATAAAATATTGAGAAATAATTTCATTCCAAAATGATAATGATAAATGCTACATCATTTTGAAGAGCTACTCAATTCACTTTGAAATTCTGTTAATTAGCAACCGACATGTAAATAAGAAATCATACAAACGGATTAAATATCAAACAGAATTTTTTAATTCACTCTAACCGTAATCGACTCTACCCCATTTACTGTGATTGAAAATCGGAGTATCAATTATCATATATCACAATATTATATTAATCATACAAATATTACAGACCTCTCTCAAAGGTAAAGATGTCTTTAATCTCCGCAATCCAATAATTCTAACGGATATGCCATTTCAATTCAAAAGATTGCAATTCACAATTCTATTGGCGTCTGCAATCACCATCTAAAGCGAGCTTAGTTCAATATTTAGGATACTGTGGTTCAACTCTCAACACAGATAAAAATTTATCAATATTTGGAAAGCGTGCTTTCTCATTTCTTTCTTTTCCATTTAATCAGACAGCCATGGAAACATGTATCTGCGTATAGCTACTTTTATTAAATATTTCATATAAGATTATATAAATATGTATACAACTTTAACAAATTTTATTAAATTAAATGACGTTTATTATTTAAATTAATTAAATTAAAGATTTATTTCAAATGACATCGATAACGATCTTCGCCATCGCTATGTTGACATTGTTTATAATTTTATGAACTGATCAGATGAATTTATTTCTTAGGAGGTCTTATCTATGGCTTAGTGAGAAATGATCATTCGAAGTGATAGTAAAGATTTCAAGTTAGTATAATGGCATTCATTGGCTTGACTTGACCTTGACTTGACTACAGTACTATACTTAAGCAGTGATCAATTGTCTATCAATTGTCTGTTTAAAATAACATTCAAATTAAAAATGTATAATGTGAAATAAATATATATTTTATATTAAGTTCATTTTATACCTCATCCAAATACATTTATGAATCCCATTAAAACTAATTCATTTTAAATGGAACAACTAGAAAACTTACTAATACAGAAATTTAATCGACTTTATCAGCCTCTGATTAAAAATCGTATATAGCGATTACAATATTTAACTCACATCGTTGCCTGTACAAATAATTAATCTCCATCTTAAAAAAATTTCAAATAAAATATCTTATTTTCAGGAAAAAGTTGAAACTTTTACAAACGAAAAAGTAAGAACACAATAGAATCATCATAAAGTTGTAATTGATTAAATTTATTAAATTAACAAAGTTCACTGTATAAAAAACATATTTTAAATATTTCTTATTTAAAACCTTATTCTAAAATGTAATTTTGTATTTCAATTTAAATAATACACATTTTTAATTAATTTTATTTTAGATTTTTCTTATTGTACATTATTATACTAATAACATTAGAAATAGTTTATTAATTAATTTTCAATATTTTAACGATCAACACTTTTTTAAGTAAAACACTGATCGGTTCGAATCAAACAGGGTTATTCACGATCTTGTTTATCGAATAATACCCCTACCATATATTAAAAAAATATCATTTAGTAACGGCGATTAAAACCACCACCCCTTTTAAAATCTGTACCACGTCTTTCTTTCATCTTCTCAAAACGATTGGACATTCTGTATAGTTCTTCTGGAGCTGCTTGACCAGCTTCTTCTAAAATACGAATGAGATCCTTTGCAACACCCCAATCCGAGCGTGTTATATAACTTATGGCAGTGCCAGTTCGCCCAGCGCGTCCAGTTCTACCAACACGATGAACATACTCCTCAATATTACGCGGAAAATCAAAATTAATAACATGACTAAATGAAAAACAATTAATACAACAAATTCGGTTTCAAATACTACTAAGCACTTACGTAATATCCTCAATATCTAAACCTCTTGAAGCAACATCTGTCGCTATCAAAACCTGTATATCACCTGACGCTATATCAGCCAGTGCTTGTTCTCGATCGGTCTAAAGACAATTTTTTTTAAGTTTATAAGAATTTTATATTCTGAGACATTACTCTAATTAAGTTAATGCATTATGTACCTGATCACGAGAACCATGTATACATTGTGTTGACAGGCCTTTTAGAGATAAATCACTGGACAAATCGTCAGCACGAGCTCGCTTAGAACAGAAGATAATAACCTTATCGGTTGATTTAAGGTTTTTTAAAAATGCAAGGACCTGCAACAAGAATAAATACATTGTTCTTCATAATTCTTCTTATTTAAGTTTTCAAATAATATTACCGTATTAAATTTGTCCGCATCCTCCAAGAGTTCTACATTTTGACTCACAGTATGAGTGGCAGTTAAATCAAGCGAACCAACACACACTTGAATAGGATTGTTCATATAACTTTCGGCCAATCTACCAACACTTGGTGGCCAGGTGGCACTAGTCATGACGGTCTGCCTGTCAGGACGTATGTCGAGTAGAATTTTTCGGATCTGTGGCTCGAAACCCATATCCAGCATACGATCCGCTTCGTCTAGTATTAAATATGTAACTGATGTAATGTCTATAACTTTAGCTTGAACCAAATCATTAAGACGTCCAGGAGTACAAATAACGCATTCAGCTCCTTCTTTGAAAACACTAATTTGGTCACGACGATTCCCACCACCATAAATGCATACACTGAATAAGAATTTCATAATTTTTTTCTTCATTCATTTTAAACTATGGTTTAACTATTTCCTAACTTACGCTTTTATTCCACGGAACGAGTACTTGTTAACTTCTTTTGCTATTTGTAATGCTAATTCTCGCGTTGGCGCTAAAATTAATATATTTGGACCATTACGTTTCTCACGTGGTGTAGTCTGTCCATCAGTATGAATCAAAGCAGGAAGCAGAAATGCTAAAGTTTTTCCAGTCCCTGTTTGGGCTATACCTATCATATCCTCGCCTCTCAATAATATAGGCCATGCTTGCTTCTGTATTGGTGATGGTTCATTAAAATTTTGTTTCTTTAACTCATCAAGGATATCAGGATAATCTTTGAAACAATGTTGAAATTTCCAAATTGGTTTCGGTATATCAGGACACATTTGATCTTCATTTGTCACCAAACGGGAAACACTTATATTATTGTTTAAATAACGCATTTCATTCACTTCTTCTTCTGTCTTAATAGCGACTTCCTCTACTTCTTCATAAAAATTTTTTCTCAAGTCTGGCAGATGCGCCCAGTGTAACCTACGATGTTCTTCCTGTAATCAAAAATGCCTCATGTGAGCAAAATAAATATGGTAAATCGATAACTTAATATGTAGATTTTAAAAATTTTTCTTACAACTTTTCTATTCAAAGTTTCCCAATCGATAGGCTGCAATACTACATGGTTTTCGGCGCAACCATTATATACATTTTTCGTAGGCGCATTTAATCTAATTCCACCACTTTCTCCCTAAATCAATTTTGTTATGAGATATTATATTAATATATATCCATATTCTCCTTCTTTTTAATTTATACTTACAGATTTTGGAGCTGCAACCTGAATATTGTCATTTTCGGAAGAAGCATTAAAACGATTCATTGTATTTTCTTTTAATACAACTTTGGGATTGTGCGAGACTTCGTGATTTGGAAATGAAAAATTTCTATTTTCTTGACCAGACATAATATCACGAATATATTTGACTGCATCGTCAACATTTTTTCTATTACGACCCTTGACAGAAATTTCCTTGGTGTCATTGTTTATATGTATATAAACGTTGAAGTTTGTTCTAATTTCTTTAATTTTACAACCGCCACGACCAATTATGGCACCAATGTAAGCAGGGTCTGCAGGAAATTTCTCCATAAAATCATCAAAATGATTTAAGTTTGAGTTTAAAACTCCACACTCGTTCCTTTCAGATTGAGTTGCACCAGTTCCAAAAGTATCCATTTTGAAGTAAGCAAAATCTAAATAAAGGAATACCTGATTATTCCGTTTTCTATAAAACGAACCAAATTTCAAACATTCAAATCACGACCGCTTTTACGAACTCCTCAATCATAACATATGAAACGGTATTTAAAATTGACTATTAAAATTAAAAATATGTTTTTTAACATTGATTATTAGGGAATAAAGCAATTGCACTCTTATGTTTAAAGTATGTCGAAAATAATACTGCCGCCGCCTTCTTAAGTCTCATCACGCAATGATTCTTATATAAATATTTCAAATGGAGATTTTTTTTGCAAATACGTCACATAACCTTAAATATATGTGAATTGCAGTGATTTTTTTTTATAGTTAATTTTTGTTTTTTAATTATAGTTTTAAAATTCTTTAAATAAAGAAACAATGATTTCTTTAAAACTTTTTGTTTAATATGTGCATTATATTTGCAGTTATTTCTTGGAACAAGCAAAATTGGCGGCTGTTTCAAGTTCTTGTCGGTTGCGAAAACAAATCAAAAATTCTTAATACTATAAAATATTTTTAACAAGTTCCAGAATTAATTGAAAAAAGTTGAACATATATTCGAACTGAAGTCATGAAACACGTATCAAGTATCACGAATCACGAATCATGAATCACGAAACACGAATTTTTTGGAGGAAGATACATACCAGCCTTAAAACCAAATCCAATTGAAAAAACACAAGCCGCTAAAAAAACGATCCGACCACCGACTCGTCTCTTGCAAAAGTAACCAATGAACAAGAAAACTTGTGTCGTTCTTTCAAAATTAATATAAATACATTTGGCAGCCCATACTCAAATTTGCGTGATGTAACTATATTAATTTGGTTTAGACTTTTTGGACACAAATGAATTTCACAAGGGGATAAATCGGATTAGCACACTATTTAATAGGTAAGCCCACATACTATTTTCATACTACATGTGTTAAATTATAAAAGTTTACAAAGTTCTGACATATTCATATCAAATTCATATAATCATATCAAATTCAATTCATAAAATTACGGTTACATTGATAAGAACAATGTACCGATTAGCATTCTGAGAAGAGCGTCTCAGAAGAACCTATACACTAATAACTCGATTAACAGCTACTTCGTACAACAGTAACCTCGATTAACGACCCAGCCGTATTTCTGATCGTGTTTTGCTTAACAGTGAAGAAAACGACAAACATGTCTTTTATAATGCAAGTAAGAGCTGGTTTGAGAATCAATATACCATAAAACTTTCTGCAAAAGGTACAACATTAAAAATGTCATACTAATGTCAAACAGAGATCAGTCGTGGAAAGAAACAAAAATGTGATCTCTTAAGAAATTTTGGAAGCACTTACGTCTGGAATACGTCGTCAAAACCCTGTGCCTGTACCTGATACCAACGTAAATGAAAAATCTGCTAAATTTGCAGAGAAAGAGGCAACTAGAGATCTCAAAATTAAAGATCTATTTCGTCAGAGTAGCTCGGATTGTTTTTGAGTTCATTATATTAATAATTATGTTAATGATTTTTTATATATTTTGTGCAATAGGCGGTGATTTATTCAAAATATATCGTTTGGTTTTCCCTTTTGTGTCTATTGATTTATCAATGGCCAATCTTTTGTCGCGAGTGTTATAAAATATTGAGAAATAATTTCATTCCAAAATGATAATGATAAATGCTACATCATTTTGAAGAGCTACTCAATTCACTTTGAAATTCTGTTAATTAGCAACCGACATGTAAATAAGAAATCATACAAACGGATTAAATATCAAACAGAATTTTTTAATTCACTCTAACCGTAATCGACTCTACCCCATTTACTGTGATTGAAAATCGGAGTATCAATTATCATATATCACAATATTATATTAATCATACAAATATTACAGACCTCTCTCAAAGGTAAAGATGTCTTTAATCTCCGCAATCCAATAATTCTAACGGATATGCCATTTCAATTCAAAAGATTGCAATTCACAATTCTATTGGCGTCTGCAATCACCATCTAAAGCGAGCTTAGTTCAATATTTAGGATACTGTGGTTCAACTCTCAACACAGATAATCTTCCACATGAACAACTATATGTTACTTGTTCTATAGTCCACAAATCGAACAATATATATCTACACTCGCAATGGAATAATAAAATAAAATTATTGATAAAATTTATCAATATTTGGAAAGCGTGCTTTCTAATTTCTTTCTTTTCCATTTAATCAGACAGCCATGTTAACACGTATCTGCGTATAGCTGCTTTTATTAAATATTATATGTATACAACTTTAACAAATTTTATTAAATTAAATGACGTTTATTATTTAAATTAATTAAATTAAAGATTTATTTCAAATGACATCGATAACGATCTTCGCTGATCAGATGAATTGATTTCTTAGGAGGTCTTATCTATGGCTTAGTGAGAAATGATCATTCGAAGTGATAGTAAAGATTTCAAGTTAGTATAATGGCATTCATTGGCTTGACTTGACCTTGACTTGACTACAGTACTATACTTGAGCAGTGATCAATTGTCTATCAATTGTCTGTTTAAAATAACATTCAAATTAAATATGTATAATGTGAAAAAAATATATATTTTATATTAAGTTCATTTTATACCTCATCCAATACATTTATGAATCCTATTAAAACTGAATCCTATTAAAATTCATTTTAAATGAAACAACTAGAAAACTTACTAATACAGAAATTTAATCAACTTTATCAGCCTCTGATTAAAAATCGTATATAGCGATTACAATATTTAACTCACATCGTTGCCTGTACAAATAATTAATCTCCATCTTAAAAAAATTTCAAATAAAATATCTTATTTTCAGGAAAAAGTTGAAACTTTTACAAACGAAAAAGTAAGAACACAATAGAATCATCATAAAGTTGTAATTGATTAAATTTATTAAATTAACAAAGTTCACTGTATAAAAAACATATTTTAAATATTTCTTATTTAAAACCTTATTCTAAAATGTAATTTTGTATTTCAATTTAAATAATACACATTTTTAATTAATTTTATTTTAGATTTTTCTTATTGTACATTACTATACTAATAACATTAGAAATAGTTTGTTAATTAATTTTCAATTTTAACGATCAACACTTTTTTAAGTAAAACACTGATCGGTTCGAATCAAACAGGGTTATTCACGATCTTGTTTATCGAATAATACCCCTACCATATTTTAAAAAAATATCATTTAGTAACGGCGATTAAAACCACCACCCCTTTTAAAATCTGTACCACGTCTTTCTTTCATCTTATCAAAACGATTGGACATTCTGTATAGTTCTTCTGGAGCTGCTTGACCAGCTTCTTCTAAAATACGAATGAGATCCTTTGCAACACCCCAATCCGAGCGTGTTATATAACTTATGGCAGTGCCAGTTCGCCCAGCGCGTCCAGTTCTACCAACACGATGAACATACTCCTCAATATTACGCGGAAAATCAAAA